GGTTTCCACGATCTCAGTATATATTATAAATTAGGTAAAGTTCAACATAAGTCACAAAAGAAATAATAATTATTTAATAATTTTTGAGGTTTTTTTACCCTGAATTTATTGACAATGGGTAACAAGGTATGATGTTCTTGTGCAAATGTATGTGACAGGGAAAAGGAAGTATTGACCCCATAAAGTATATATATTCGTGATCAGCATCAAAAGCCGCTTCGATCTAGCCATGTTCCTATGTCTGTTCGTATATTTGAAAGCGTCGATCTCAGAACCCATAAGATAAAGAGACTTCAAAGTAGGTTCTCCTCCTCCGACAATCGATAACTTGCCCCGTTGCCAAGCAATCGTTATCGAAATCCTGTTTTTGAGCAAATGTCTTTACTTTTAATGGCTTGAGGCACCAAACTTGACATTTAGCTTATAAAATAGTATACACAGATTAAGTATCTTTCATTTTATAACTTACGCCCATAGATTTTGCTTAGGTACTGATATAGCAAGTAGTTCATTTAGTTAAGTAAACTGACGGGCATTTCATTTAATTTTCTTTTTACTATGACGTCATACATATCGAATTAAATCTGTTTGTATTTCATTCACATGCGTATATATGAAATTGCTCTGTCATAAAAGTAAATATTTTTACGGCGCATTCAATTTCATAATTACAATCCTTTGGCTATCTGTGTTATTCTTTCTCACCTCTCTCTCTCTCGCACTCCTCTCTCGCTCTCTCTTTCTCTTTATCACTTTAATGATAATAATTTTTATAACCGAAATGCATTGATAGATAGCGTTGTTTTTCTCATATCGAATGTTATCTATCAGTTGACAAGAATTTCATCCATGCCATATGTCGATTGGCCTGATACTTTTCGATAAGACCTTATCAGCATTGCCAAAGCATTGCGTGTTGTAATTAGTTGTTTGGCCCAAATATTTTGCTAATCCGTCAACAGTTGCTGCTCAACCCACCGAAACAACTAAGTCTAACCCGCTCCAGCTGCCCCTTGTAAACAGCTGCTACTCGCCAGCTTTGCATGGGAACTGTGTCTACTTCAGCGCCAGGTCCAGTGTTCGGAGTTCAGTGCTCAGTGCTCAGTGCCCAGTCAGTGCACTCAACACTTTGAAATTGGATTTGGAGCCAAAATGAGCAGCTGACCAGCTGACTGAATGACTGACAAGCCGTGAGCCCCTCGGCACGCCCTCTTCCGCCACATCTAAGCCCGCAGAAAGCGGTCGGCATAATTGCTTTTGGGCACATGGCACCCACTCAGGCGCCAGCGATTCGGACTGCAGCTCAAAAGGAGCACTTGGGCCCCCACCATGGTGCTAATGAAAATGCATGACGCGCAGTTGGCGCTGGCTAGACGTGCAGTTGAGTCCTGTGTGTCGCGTGTGCTGGGCTCTGTTTTAGAAATCATTCTCTTTTTGGGTCCAACACTTCTCACATAAAGCTTAAATAGTTTAGAAAGGCAAAAGCTAAGCAAAAAAAACTTGATTAAGTTGAGAAACAAAATCCTTTACATATGATTTTATTGTAACAAGATGTAAGATGGATACATATGTAAAGAGCTCGTTTTTTTTATTGCATACCTTGAAGAGCCTGTAATATTTGAGCAAGATAAGAACTTCTCTGGAACACCAAAGGTATGCCACAGAATATTCTGTTTTTAAACATATTAAAAGAAAACAAAAAAGAAAATTATTACCAGAAACTTAATATGTTAATTATATTTAAATTTATACAAAAGTTTGTTCAATATTTGCTTCTATACCCTGAAACCATTGGAAATGGGTAAATAGGGGTATATAGGCTTTGTGCAAATGTATGTAACAAGCAGAAAGAAGCTTCTTCGACTTTCTTAAGTACATTTTTATATAGATATATATACTTGATCTAGTCTGTACGATTTCGAATACTAACATCTCATATATCATATGCAAAAAAAAATAATCATCTCTTTATGTGATATCTGCCTACATTTCCTTCGATAAATATTGATTGTCTTAGGGTATCTACTAGTCGGACATTTCCTACTTAAGCACTCTTGGTTTTTCTGTTGCTTTTGCTGTGATGTGGCTTACAGTTTTCAATTGACAGCCTTGTCTGTCTGTCTATTTGATTACAAGTGTTGTAGACATTTGCAGGTCAAATGCTTCCCCCTTCCCTACTCACAGCTCCTTGCCCCTTCTCTGCAAATTGTGTGTGTGTGTCACGAACATTGCGCAAAATTTATCGCTTTTGTGCATTTGAAATTAATTTGAAATTAATTTTCAATTCGATTTTCGGTGCTGCCTTCTCATTTGATGTGTGTGTTAGTTGTTGTCGCTCGTTGTTGCTTGTTGTTGTTGGTTGTTGGTTGTTGTTGCCATCGCAGTTGGCTCCATGTAATTACATGTCGTTCTGTTTGCTGTTGTTGTTGGCGCCTCGGGGTTTTTTGATTATATTTTGTAGCTAATTTTGTTGTTTGCGGTCTTGTCGATTTTAATTGTTTGGTAAATGAAACTATCAACTGTTAACTGTGGCTCGTAGGGGGTGTTGCGGTTGTGGTGGTTGAATTTAATATTGCAAAATTCTATTTTATATGAAAGGAACAAGTAGCCAACAAGTGCCAAAGATTAAATGCCCTTACATTATATTTATTTAAAAACAGCTATATAAATATTTGATCTGATCAGCTTTTAAGTGAATAATGAATAAATATATTTTCCCCTTTTAGACTTTTGCCCTAGGGCTTTGCATATCGTTGTAAGAATAGTGAATCTCGTAAATTCTGAACATGGTGAAAATATCTTGGAAAGCAGAACATGTTGCTATACATAGAGTTATATGATATACTTAGTAGCGCGAAATGGATAGGATTTGGCTCATATATAAGCAGCATATTTTAACTAATAAATGCCGAGATTAGTCAAGATATCTTGATAAAATAAAAGTTCTTTATATAAAGTTAACTTTGCGAACAGTGGGACCTATGCTGTTTCAAGACGATAGCTTTAAAACCGAGAGATAAGTTTGCATAAAAACAACTCGGCTGTTGATGCTGATCGAAGATATAATAACCTTTGCAAGGGTATGACAATTAGAAACAGCTTTTTCTATAAATTGCAAGTGTTTTATGTGTATTTTTAATGAAAGATTTGACAAAGCTTCAAATATGTTTTAAATGCAACAATTTACGTTGCCCTGCCTAAGGCTTCATTTGTATGTATTCATTGAACGAAACAAAAACACTTTAACAAGTTTGTGCTCTACCCTTAGCTGTTTCGTATTGAAATAAAAATACCCTTTTCAAGGATAAAAAGCATTTTAACGCTTAATTCATAATAACTTTTTGTGGGCTTAATGGCCTAACACCAGCCAAATCGATTTGAACCGTTAGCTATGCCACATATACCACATGATACCGCAAAGCCACGGTTTTAACGGCAATTCCAATACCGTTTCCAATTGGAAACCGCACCACAAAACGCTGTCGAGTTGATTTGATTGATTTTAAATGGCGTTTAATTTGACAATCGATGAGCCTGAAAATGCTGCACTGCCACATTTTGCGAGGCGTTCAACCAATAGGTCAAAGGGCAAGTTGATTGACTGATTTGATTTCGTTTGATTTGATTTGATGCAGCTGTCATAAAACGCTGCACACACAATTTCGTAAAATCTTAAAGCGATTGCAGCCTAGCTGAAAATCTGCTTGAAAAGTTGTGAATTACGAATAAGCGATGATATGGCAAAGGGCAAGTGATTGAGAAGTTACTGCATCTCATTCTTCTGCTCCTGCTGACTCTTCACTGAATAGTAGCCGCAGTCATTTACTCTACACTTTACCGTTTCGTATGAATTCAGTCCATTTGAGCCTTTATGTCCGCCCCTGCCATTTATGAGTTATATATTGGCTCCAGACTCAGCACAAACAGGCGGCAAACATCACAGAGAGATGAACATTCATGCAGCATTCAGCATTGAGCATTGGGTCAATATTATCAGCACATTTAAATGGGCTTAAACGCGAGGCCTGAAATGAATGCTAAAGCAAACAATGGCAAAGGACCATTCAATTGCCCAGCGACCCAGTTTTGTAAAATGAATTTAGAGCATGAACTTTATGCAACAAAGGGCACATGCTACAATTAACAAAAATAAATATGTATAATATGCTTTAAAAGAGCTTTTACTGATTGATAAAGCATAAAGGTATATAGTTTTTATGCTATCTGAAGTATCGCTTTCAAGGCAAAGATAATTCATAGCTTAACTCTATTAAGTATGCAAAAAATGATTGTATCTACCAGATAGTTTCATATAGATTATCCGAGAGCAGGATATCCTGGTCTTACTTACAACATTATTGGTCCATTAGGTTCTGCAATCCGAGAAAATCTGAATTGTGTTTGGGCTTTTGCTAATAAATCTCTGATCCAACAATAGATGTTAAGGAAACGAAATCTACATTGGCATAGAGCTTGAAATGTGCAGAGAAGCTGAACCGTATTTCATCGGGAGTTAGATCTGAATTGGCATAATACTTTAAAAATGTTATTAAACATTCTCAATTTAGTAAACAATTTCTGTATGTTTATAGGAATCTAAGCCCGTTGTCGGAACTTTCTTTATTCTTCAACAGCTTTGCAAATTGTGTGATTGACTGCAAACTCTTGATAAAATGCTATTTAAGAAATTTCATACGAATATAGGTAGGGTGTTTATAGACTAACATACATGTCCATGCAAATAGGTGTGTAGCTTTAGGAAAATTATAAAGAGCGTCAATAAGATAGGCCGTAGATAACTGCTTTCCGACAGATGAGCTGCATATATGTACTACAGCAAATGTCTTTAGCTGGAAGTAAATTCTAACAAAGAAAGCTTCAAGAGCGGCTTCAGAGATGTACATTTGCCTGGCTAGCTCCAATGCAAACTCTAAGCCCCATTTTAAAGACTCGCCCAAAGAAGGAGATAAAAAAATGAAACAAAAAAAAACTTGTGCTAATTATTTAACACTTGGCTGGGAGTAGTCAAGCAAGGAAACCATGCGGGAAGCCAAGTCATGACTTTATTTTCATTGTTTTATCGCAGTGAAATCGCGAACGTTGAAAATCACATGCGCACACATCATAAATGTCAACTTGGCGAGAATTATGGCACACAAGGTGGAAGAAAAAAAACCAAACAAAAAACCAGGAGTATAGAGACTGCAGGAGGTGGAACATAGGGAGCTAGGTACTGTTTCGCTCTAGAGTAGCATTCAGTCATCTTATGAAGTCATGGTGTGGTGCAATGCTTCGCTTGGCTTTCAGCTTTCGGCTGTCGGGGTTCATGTATGCTTGTGCTTGGGTTCTATCTGAAAATCGAGATTTCGTGGTCCGTGACCATTTGGCAATGTGATAATTGCAGCTGCTGCCGCCGCGCAGAACCCAGAAGCAGTTCTTGTAATGAGGCATAGCCGTGATGTGAGTTGCCTTTAACTTGGTTCAGGTTTTGGTTCGGGTTCCGCTTCGGGCTTGGATTTGGGTTCGGGTTCGGGTTGGTTGCGTTTGACACTAAAGTGCAGCTGGGCTTGGCCCATCACTGCATTCTCCAGCTCCTCATACTCTTACCAGCAGCTAGCTCTTTCTCTAGCTACTGTTGCACATTTTCGCTTTGTTTCGCATTTAATGTGACAATGTCATTTTGTTTGCTGTACTTGTTGTTGTTGTTGCTGCTGTTGTCGTTTATCTATCTGTTAATTTGCAACGCCACGCAAGTTCACACTCTTAATTGGATTTGAAAGTGCAGTCGGAGGCAGCATTTGACACAGGCCAATCCCCTAGCTGCTGCTGCTTTTGCTACTTCTGCTTATGCTCCTCCGCCAGCTCGGCTCAGAAGTTTAGAGACATGACAGCTGATTAGTTAGCCTGGCTATTTGGGTTTGTTTTGGCCAGCCTGTGTGAATGGGGTTAACCCAACAACGGCGGTGGCGGCATTTAATGCATTTTGCGAAGATTTTCATGTGCCTGGCAGCCCGTTAATGAGTTCAGTTCAGTTGCGCTTAATGATAATGGATTGAAGAGAAGGTGCAGCTCGGTTTGCCGCCGATAGAGAGTAGCACTAGCCGTGAGCAGTAGATTTTTGTTAACTGAAAAGAACATGAGTCGTTGATAGTTATGGCACTGTACTAGGTTAAATGTTAGCATGGTTCACAAGATCAGTGAAAAGACACGATTGATAATAAAAGCTTGTTGTTTGGCAGAGTATACGTACACTCAGAAAAACTACAGCTCGAAATTGAAAAGTGGTCCAAAATATTTAGTCTAGTTTTTAGTAAATATTTCCTAAAACGATTCGTCAATTTTCTCAAAGCAAAAAAAAAAGGAATGAAGAGTGAAATATTTTCTAACTTTAAGAAAGCGAAGTTCTTGGCTGAGTTTCGTGACATCTTGATTTTCTAATATTCTTATATATTTAAAAAATTATTGTTGTGTTAAATATTTCCTTTTTAGTGTACTTTTCAATATATTCAGAAAGATAATTAGGCGGACACTCGTTTTGTCGACCATTAATACAAATACATAAATAAATCTCCTATAAAATAAAGAAATAAATAAAATTTGAATCGGGATTTTGTGGGGTAAATCGCCCTAAATTTGAAGAAATATTTATACATTTCTTAACAATTTAATTTTTTCTGAGTATGAGACATTTTCTTTTTTAACAGGAAATCAAGTAAAATGTTCATCTAATGTCGATTTTCTTACTAAAGGGAACAAATTTTTTTTAAGTGTATGGGTTCATCAACAAAGTTTTACTTGAAAATTCTCTACTCATCTACCCTCAACAAAACATAAACAGCTTTTTGTCTTGTGGTAAAAAACACACCCAAACATTTCAAGTCACTTCAAGCAGAACGTGCTGTATGAAAGAAAAGGAAAAAAACACTATCTGGAAATTAATAAAGATGCAACACGTTGCAGCTTTGCAGCACACATTAACACCTCACAGCCGTGGCAGAGGGGATTGGGGTGTTGCACATCCTCTGCGTGCGGCTTAAATTAACAAAATTTTACGCATCGCAAAATTTCAGTAACGCGATTTTGCAACTCTGATTTTTTTTTTTTTTTTTTTGTCAAAGTGGGCAGTGGGTCGACTGCGGTTCTGTTGCAGGGTGCAGTGGCAAAGAGCGGTGTTTGAAGGCAGACAGAAGGGCGGGCAGGAGCTGTGCGCTGACGATGAGGCGCGGACAGGCAAAGCGAAAAGCGCAAACCAAGCTGAAAATTGCTTAATCCTGCTGACAAGACAGCCTAGCACTAAAAACGAGCCAAGTGAATGGTCCAAAAGAGCCGCTAAGGATACCAGGCGGCAGCCCTGCTCTGCTGACTGGGCAGTCGTCGTCGCCCAGCCGCTGACAGAGGGCGTTGCAGCGAATAATTATGCATATTGCAGTCTGTAGAACCAGGCCGAGCTGGCCCAGACCCCGGCACAGGCCGGAGAGTCAGCTTTCTGCACTGAAACCTCGCCTCACTTTCTTGGTAATAAAGCAATGCATCACCATGCCATGCCATGCCGGCTACGAGGGAACGAGCGCGGTGTGTCGCGCCGCGCGTCTCATCGTCTCGGCGGACGTGTGCAAAATGTTGACGCATCGTAACTTACGTTATTTGTGGCCTTGAGCATCAAATGTTGTAATTGAGTTTTGTGTTTTACGATTATATCCAGAGAGTACTCCGGGCAGCAGTTTTATTGGCCCTTACGAGCAGAAGCACAGCTTGGCTGCAGTGTGTGGGCCCAAAACGCAATCGCCTCTAAACTGGCATTTAAAGTGGCCAATAGACGTTGCGAATAAATTGAATTAGCCCGTCGCCGAGTGAATTATTTATTTGCCTGGCAGCTGCAGCGCTTTTCCTGGTTCGCTTAAATAACTTAATGTTCCACTAAATATATATTCGACATGGTGATGATCGTGCATTTGAATAACCATCAAGAACTGTCACGATAAGAACTTAATTGTTTAGGGCATATAAAATGTTAAGGAATTTAGACTTGTAGCTTTCAGCTTTCCTTAGTTTTTCTTTATTGGTTCGGTTTACGGTTTGAACCAATTTCTTTTCTTTTCCAAAGTGCTCGTTAGTTATTTATTAATGTTTATTTTAACCTCATTAATAGGTCTCGCTAAGCCTGCGAACTCAAAATTAAATATAAAGAAGATGGTCGGTGGTTAGGCTTTTTAATTTAAGTTAAGTAAAAGAACATGCGGATAATGATTTAGTTGCTAGCTTTATTTAGTAGATTTTGTAGCTAAAAAGTAAATTAATTATGGTAATTAATTTAATATTTATCAAGTTGGCAAAAACCTTAAAATTATGGTGTGGGAGGAAAATTTTAATTAAAAATTTCAACAGTTAAAGAGAGCCTAAAGTAGGTCCTAAAGGGTTCTATCACTCATAAAATCTTATTTGCTGGGATAATTGTCTAAGTAATCGAGAATTATATATTGTTGGAATATTTTTTCAGAAATTAATTACCCTCGAAATTGATTCCAATTGGTTGAATGATTATTTAATTTGTTCCAACTAACACAATATGAAACTATATACATTACATTTTTAAGTGCAGTCAAATTTAGTATGTCTGATATTAATTGTATGGGGTGTGCTTTGCCTCGATTGACATCTGCTAATTGAACTTGTAAATGGCCTTAGTATATATTCTTTTTATTTTTATTTTTTATTTGGCCACAATCCGTTGTGACTCACAGCCGTAACTGCATGTAGTACATACATGCACGTACATAGCCTCTTCCTTTGCTCCCATTTTCGCAATTATCTTGACCTTTTGACACCTTAGCCTCCTCAGTGGCAACACACGACCGCAAAGCCATCAAAAACTGAGCCACAGTCGCTGCGTTCGACGTATTTTGGGGCACAACTGACAGCTGACAGGCTGCCAATTCGCCAATTTCAGTTGCATATGCAGTTGCGCTGGCTCCGTTGCACATATCGCATTTCTCACAGCGGCACAGCTGCTGGGTTACCCCTCCCACACACACACACACACACACACGCGCGCACACGCGCGCGGGCACTCTCGACTGTCATCCTAGGCCACACGTTGATGCAGATGCAGTTGCCAAACGGCAAAGTAAAAATTAAATTCGTGCGCTGCGCTTTTAGTGGCTGCCTCCACACTTTGCTTGCTCCTGCTCCGGCTGCTGCGGCTCTTGTGTGGTTGACCGCACCCGCCCAGTGCCCGCTTGCCCTTGTTGGCTCCTCGGCTATCCAGCGGCTCGACTGGCGTTAATATTAAAAATAATTTGCGTGCGAAATTATTCATGTTGCACAAGGCAAATCTTGTGGCAATTATCGCTGCACGTAGCTCGTCTGCCTCCAGGTTGCCAGCAGTATCTGTTGACGTTGTCGTTGTTGTTGTTGTTGCTGCTGCTGTTGTTGCTGTTGCTGTTGTTGTTGCTGTTATTGTTATTGCTGTTGTGTGGTGGCGGCGATTGTAAACAGAAAATAGGTTTAAACCGCAGCGTTAAAAGGACTGCACTCGCATCGCTGGACTCGAATCGCAATGCCGCAGTCGCTGGAGCCAAAGGAGTTGGCCCCCGAGGCTTTTTGCCAGCGTGCGCCTCGTTGTTTGCGCTTCGGCGTCAGTCCACCCCCTCATTCTGGACAGACGCTGTGCATTGGCAATCATCAGCATTTGGCACATGAACCGACCCACACATACAAACACACACATTCGCATCGATATTCCCCTATTGACATTGACAGTTATGGCCGCGAGTGTATTTGCACAACAGCACGGATACAGATACATATTCAGTTATATCGAACATTTACTGATACAGATACAGATACAGATATGTGGAGCAGAAATCACCACGCGCGAGATGATTCAATAGACGAGTTTAATCAACATCAAGTGGTGGGATTCGATGTTATTATCGTTGATTTTAATATGTGGTATATAGACATTCAGTGAATGTGTATTTAAACTCACAAAACATATAGATATATAACTGAAGAGACGTAGATACAAACAGAGTTTTAACTGAATATGGTCGTAGATACAAATAGAGTTTTGTAGATGGCGATACTAATAAAAATTCAAAAACTTATACATATATAGCTTGAGATACAAATATAAATACATATACAGCTATAGATGAGAATTTAAAAGCAGCTAGATATTTAGTTAAATATACACATTATATGTAGTTCGATCAGATAAAATAACTATGTCTTAATTATATTTAAGTATCAAGTTTTCAAACTATAATTTTTATTAGCGCCATCTATCGTCATATAGGATTTAGAAAATGTTTACCCCCACCATATTTAAAAGCATATTATTACTAACCGAAAACGTTTTAAAGCCTAATGTTTCACACCTCGCCAACATGCTAATCGATCCATTTCCCCCACACTCGCCTCGCGCAACGACAACGACTGCCCATTTACTCGAACCCATTTACCCATAGCATACCAGAGGCCGTCCGCTGTTCTGGCTCATGCCTTCTATCACGCACAAAATTACCCAAAACAATTTTCCACTCAAGCGGCGCAGGCAACCAGCTAGAAAAATGCCAGCACAGCCAGCCGTGAGCATTGTGGCAACATCCCATCAAAATGGCCAAGAGCGCAACAACGCATCTTCAGCCCGTGGAAGATGCAAATGTATCTATTAAACAGAAATCAGGCAGAAACAGACCCAGACCCAGACCCTAGAGCTCTTAGCCAGCAGCGAGCAGCCCGCAGCTCGCAGCTCGTAGCCTTAAGCCGCCAAGATCCAGTCGAGACTATGACCATTGCTAAGCACTTCACACCAAAGTGTCAATTGCATTTTTGTGGTTGGTCGCAAGAGGCTCCGCCTCGGCCCCTTGTCTGCTGTTGCTGTTGCTGCTGCTGTAGCCGCTGCCGTTGGACTCGGGCACTTAATGCAACAATAAAACAATCAAAGTGTCTAGAAAATCGATGGAAATCAAGGGAGCAGCCAACGACGCGTCGCATCGTAAGGCAACATGCAACTTCAACTGCGACTCCTCCTGCTCCTAGCAGTAGTAGCAGCTTGGAGCCACTTTTAGCTCTGTTGGCTGTTGCCAACAAATGGAAATTCAATGTGAAGTGTGCGTATCAGCGACTGTCGCTCTGCAGTGCATCCAAAGACCACACACTTGACGTGCCTGTAGCAGTAGAACCCTGGCAATCGCAGTGGCTCAGACGCGGGGGGTTAAAGTTCTGCCACTGGAGGACCGCAGCGTCTGAATTGAGAATCTGGTATGGCTTTTGGTTTCAGCCACTTGACGATTAAATTGGCGATGAGACCGTGTACCAGAAGGAAACCCAAAAAAAAAA